GAATGTGCTTTGGACAAAACTACTCGGGAAAACTAGGACTAACCAAGATGCCAAAGGACTTCTCCAGCCCATGCGTGTCGTGCATGGACACGTCCTGTGTCCTGTTTCCCAAGCTTGCATTTTAAGGAATATCCTGAGCATTTGAGGAAGGCCTGTGGCAATCCCTGACTCCCCACTGCTACTTAGAAAGGCTTCTGAAGGAATGGGGGCTGAGGCTGGGGAAGTTTGGAAGGGATGGGTTCGAGGGCTTCTCTGGGCACGGTGCCCTCTGTGGAGTGGGTGGCAGTGGAAGAACTCCAAAAGAGTCTGGAGGCTTTGGCTAGAAATAAGTGAGGAAGATTTACTCAGGGCCTTAGGGCTTTCAGTCCCCAAACACGCCAGGTAACTCCCAGAGCATTCTGAAGAAGAGAAACTCTAAGAGTTTTTATAGTCAACAGTGTGTTCTCGAGAAGAATCGGCCCTGCATGCCTAGCCTCTGGATTGCTCTGCGGTGGTCATCCGAGGTGGCCGGTGGCCTGGGCCTGGGTGTCGGGCGGTCTGGATGGTGAACACCCTCTCCTCAGCCCGTCAGGGGTAACAGAGGGCTGCGTGGGCGCTTAGGTGTGTCCAGGCACCGAGGCAGCGCTGGGAAGTGCAGACGCTTGTTCCCAGGCTCATCAGAGCAACGACACAATCGTCCCCTAGAGCCGCAACTGGCCCAGCTTTAGTCATTTAGCAGCTTCTCTGTAGCGACTGCATTTCGTTTCTTCATGCTATTCCTCGGGCTTAACCAGAGGGCTATTTCTCATGGTTCTGGAGGCTGGAAGTCCAAGATCAGGGTAATGTCAGGGTTGGTTTCTGGTGAGATCTGTCTTTCTGGGAACTAGATGGGCCCTTCTCACTGTGTTCTCACATGGCCTCTTCGTGCACACGGGGGTGGGGAGAGAGAGAGAGAGGAAACAAGCTCTGGTGTCTCTTCTTATAAGAACACTAGTCCTATAGGGTTAGGGCCCCACACTTATAACCTCATTTAACTTTAATTACTTCCCCTAAAGTTCCTGTCACCAAATAGTCCAATTGTGGGGTTCAGGCTTCAAGATATAAATCTGGGGGGACACAATTCAGTCCATAACACCCATGGTGAGAGGGTACTTTGGGCCATGGGTCAGAATATGGGAATGAAAAACAGGAATGAAATGGACCAGATAGGTTATGATAGATTTATTTTTCCTTTGACATCAAGAACAGCAAAGAGCACTATCCCCAGTGGGTTATGTGTTAGGTCCCACTATCTCCATTTTACAGGTGAGGGAACTGAGGCACAGGGAGGTGGCCCAAGTCCCACACTGTGTTATGGGTTAAGCTGTGCTTAACCCCAGCCCCCAAATTGAAGCCTTAACCCCAGGACCTCAGAAAGTGACTTTATTTGGAAATGGGGTCACTGCAGATGCAATTAGCTAAGAGGAGGTCATTCTAGAGTAGGGTGGGCCCTAATCCAATAAGACTGGTGTCCTTGTGAAAAGGAGGAATTTGGACAGACACACCCTTGGGAGAACACCGTGAGAGATGAAGGCGGAGATCAATAGCCACGGAAGGCGAAGATCCCAGCAACCCACCAGGAGCTCCGGTTCGGCCTGGAGCAGACCCTCCCTCAGCCTCAGAAGGAACCACCCCGCTGACTGATGCCTTGATCTCCTAGTTCTGAACTCCAGAGCTGTGAGACGTACGTTTCTGTTTGTTAAACCATTCCGTTTGTGGCACTCTGTTACCACAGCCCTCACAAACTAACATACTCAGTAATTCGAGGGGGCCAGGTTCTAACTTGGGCATTCTGGCTCCAAACCCAGGTTCTCTGTGTTCCCTCGATGACTCTGGAAACACTTGTCACCGTGCCGTGCCCATCGCAGGAGCTCAGAGCATGGGAGCTGTTTGTCTCAGATCTGCCCCTTCTGGGAGAAGGCTGCCTCGCCTTCCCGAGCAGCCAGGGGCGACCAGACTGCTCCGGACCTTCTCTGCCACATGTAGCCAGAGCCAGGGGCTCCCAGGCCTGTACCTCCAGGGGACCCACACCCAGTCTCCTCCCCTCTCCGCTGCTACAGCAGCTGCGGGGCTCTGTGCCCACCTCCAGGTGAGGAACCTGAGGTCCAGTGACATGAAGTGCTAGCCCCACAGCACGGGGTCAGTGGAGAAGCTGGGACCGAGCCCTCCTTGTCTCACTCCAAATTTCAAGTGCTTCCCCTCCCCTGGGGAGGCCCCTCTAGCTTCCTGACTAGTGGCCAATCCCACTAGTAACCATTTGTTGAACCAAGTGAACCCAGGATGCCTCCCCACGCACCCCCTGATGAGGGCCACGCAGTCTCCCCAGCTCCACTGGCACCTGGGGTCCCCAGGCCACACCTCGGACGCTCATGGCGCTTGCACTGCCTCCCTCCGGGACCAGGCACAGAAAGACTGGGTTTTCCCACTGGAGGGAAACACATGGCCCCTCAAACACCGAACACCAGGCCCAAAGAAGTGGGCCCCCCGAGTGGCATCACAGGGCCCCACAAAGAAGAGACCCTGTGGGGGACCAGCAAGCAGAAACAAGGAGGCCCAGGCCCCGCTCTCAGGGCACAAGGTGTCCCACATGAAGTCTTTTCATTTATTTATTTGTCTAATGTTCCAAAAGGGCATTTTGAAATCTGAAGAGCGGAACTAAATATTTACCCAGTCAATTCCAGGGACCTGCCAGGGGTGATGCAGAGCAAACAGCTCAGGGACCTTGGTCGGGACACAGCCTTTTCCACTCACTCATTCACCGATTCAGCCACCAAACATTCACTGGGCCTCAGCCCCACGTCAGACCGACCGCGAGCACTGGGGCCAGGTTCTGGGGCGCACAGGGCCCTGTCTTTGAGATGCTCCGTCTGATCGGGCCAGAGGAGTGTTTGATGGCAGGATGACAGTTTGCCTTTGGAAGAGATGAGGCGTCAGTGGGCAATCCTGGCAGAAGGCAGATTCTCAGAGGCGGGGAAGGGAGCATTCTGGGTGATAGGGACCCACAGGAGCAAAGGCCCAGAGGTGGAAGCTAAGGGCATCCTGGGAGAACAGCAGGACTTCCCGTGTCTGAAGTCACTGGATACGTGAGGCAGGAGAGACAGGCCGGGACCAGATCAGGGAGGCCCTGACTGCAGGTAAAGGAGTTTGAGCTGTAGGGAGCCACTGAGTGCTCTGAACAGGGGACAGATAAGCCAAATCACAATAAGGAGGCAGCGCTCTTGAGGATGAACTGAGGGTGACTGTCCCCCCTTTTTCTCTCCTTCATCACACTAGGGCTTCACCTCCACACATCACCCCAGCCACAATGTTGCCATGGTTACCCTAGGCCTGTGTCACCTTTCTCGCTCATCTGAGACTCTTGAATCCACCCACTCACCAGCCTCTGTTGGACAAAGTTGGGAGCCAGTCATCCTGACTTTATTTCTTGCCTGGCTGTTAAAATGCACAACCCAGCTTCTCAGCAGGTGCAGGAGGAAATGCACCAATATTTTCAGTAACACTCTTGCTTTTCAGCCAATAAACCCAGGGCGCAGAAAGGAGGGTGTGCATTTCTTTGAGCCTTGGAGGGGTCCAGGGTCTTAAGGCATTTCCTGGTCTTTGTCCATGCAGCCGGGGGCTGGTGTGGTTAGCACAGAATGTCCCTGATCAGCAGTGTCCTCACTGGGGAACTCTCCTCTGTCGACATCTCCAGGGGGTGTCCTGTCCAGCTCAGGGCTTGGTTTCGGAGGGAGGGAGGGAGGGAACCCAAGTCTTCCCCTCCTCTCTCCTCTTCACACCATAAAGAAGTGGTCTGTCTCTTGCTGTAGATATCGGTTTCCCACAACAAGCCTATTCTGAAAGCTGGGACAGTATTTGGTCCAGAGACCATGTCATGCAATCCCTGGAATATTGGGCCTTAAACAGTCGTCGGTGCTGGAGGTGGCTCTCAGCCTGCCCTCCTTAGTCACCAGTGAAAACTCTGGGTTTGTGGCATTGAGCCCTCCTGTCTCTGATGCACTTATCACCAAGAAAACCCACAGAGCCCTGCCCAGAAGAATTGATTTGCCAGGAATTACTGAGGTTTAGGACAAACGCAGCCAGGTGCTGTCAGCCTGCTGCCTCCTATGGGAGGGGTCCAGGTTTAGCCTTGCAGATTCAGAGTGGAACCTCCCTAGAGAGTTTGCCCCACACACTCAAAGACAGTCTGAGCTGGACCACCTGGGCCTGCCTAGATTATCCAGGCAGAGAAACTGAGGCCCAAAGGGGAAGGGATTTGCCCGAGACCCCAGAGCACATCGGTGGCAGAGTAGGGATGTGAGAAGAGGCCTCCGGACTCCAATCCCACGCTCTACCTTCTCTGGGGAGCATCCCATGGCCACGGTCATCTACTCGGGGAGAAAGACTGGCCCATCCCCATGGCCACGGGGGGGCGGAGGCTGAGCCTCCCACGAGGCCTCTGCGCTGAGCCCTCCTAACCAGGTCTCTGGGGCGGCTCCTTGGTTGGTGTCCTCCCTGCCAAGGCCTCGGAGCCCCCGCTCTGGGACAGGGCACCCGCCCTGCCGGGGGTGGCTGGCTGTCCATGCTGCCCCCTTCTTCCACAGACACCTGTGTTGTGGAGCACCTCGGGCCTGCCTGGGACCAGGTATGCCAGGGGAGGGCGGGGCCAACCCCAGAGGGATGGGAAAGGCATGCATTTATGAAGCATTTGCTGTATACAAGGCGCTGAACCAGACTCCTTATAGCCATCAGTCTGTTTAATTCACACAGGGTGTCTCCCACTTTCCAGGGCAGAAACTTACTCAGAGAGATTATATGATGTGGCCAAGGTTGCATAGCCCTGGGGAGTGTCCAGTCCACAGCCACCTGGCGCCACCCACACTCCTCCCGTCACCAACAGCTTCTGCCTGGACTCCTGGCATCTTCTGCATCCCTGACTCCAAGGCCGAGCTGCGCACAGCCGGCCCCCTCCAGGCCACGTCCTGCTGCGACGAGCCCCCCGCGGGCTATGGTTTCGTGGGGTTGACCACCTTGCCCAGAAAGAGGATGCTCTGGGTGTCCGTAGAGAAGATCACCATGAGGAAGGGCCGGTTGAACTTCAGGACTTTGTTGTTGTGCTTGGAGGAGAGGAAGACGGTAGAGATGCTGGTGGCCGCCGCGGCCTCGGTCCCGGCCTCGTCAACGTCCAGGACGGCCTTGTGGAAACTCTGCGAAGGGGATCGCAAGCGTTACTTCTGAGAACGTGCGTGAGAGCTGAAGGGAGACTCAGGGGACAGGAGGGTCCCGGAGATCAAGACTGAGGTTCTCCGCATGCAAAGCCCCTTGTTGGGGACCTCACAGCGGGAATTTCTGCACCGGGAGGGCTGTTGAGTGAATGCCCTCTTGGAAATACAATAATGATAGCTGTCATGAACTGAGCGCTTACTGTGTCCCCAGCGCTCTTTCTGATCTTCAACACCACCCCTGAGGAAAGCACATTCGGAGACCAGGTAGCACTGCCGAGTCATAAGAGGCGTAGCGTAGCTGGAGGCAAGCTCTCAAACCCAAGGCTCTGCTCTGCCCTCTAGTGCACCGTAGCCTGACTTAGCTCACGTCACAGGTGCCCTCCGCTTGCCTAAGAAATCTCTCCGATGCAGACGCACCCAGTCCAGCCTCATCTGTACCCTTCCTGTCTCTGGCATTGAACCTGTCACTGCTGCCATCTACGGAGGCAAGGCTGGAGTGCTCTCTGAGGACAGCGGCTGGGCGGGCACCGTACCCCCAGCACCAAGCACCACCCGTGGTGAGTGGGTTCGTGGACGTCCATGCCTGTGGATGGTTGGACAGACTCAGCTCTGAGATCACCTGGTGGCAAGGAGAGCACCCCCGAGGGGCAGAAGTTCCCGCCGGAGGTCTCTAGGTGCTGAGGGCCACAGGCGACTTACCTTGGACACCAGCAGATTTTCCTGTGTGGTGATGCCGGACAGGTTGGCCTGCTGTGAGAACAAGTCCCGGATGCCCAGCTGGGGCAGAACCTCATCTAAGTTATAGGAGTCAGAAATGGAGAACTTGGGGATATACAGCTCGAGCTCCCTGTAATAAGAACTGAAAGAGGCATTGGGTTAAAACATTGGACTTACACACAAGCCAGGGACCACAGCGGGGCTGAGCTTTCCTTGACTGCACTTAGCTGGATCCACTCCACCCAAACACCCATTTGCTCACCCATCCTTCACGCCAGCGCTCTCAGGGGCCTACGGCCAGGCTGCTCTGCCCTGGGGACTGCTGTCTGTGGGACCTTCCTCCCTCATGGGCTCATCTTCAGCTGGGTTTCTTTCTGTGGGCGCACCAGGTGCCCGGAGAGATGCGAACCTCCCCCTGTTGGGATCCTGTGGTTTTCACTTCTTTGGGACCAGCTGATTTCATTGGATCCAATTCCTGCACCGCATGAATTGTGAGAAGTTTCCGTCCACATAAGGCCTCAGGTGGAGGCCCTTTTCTTATCTGTGGTTGGAGACTCACCCACTCATAGTCCCGGGGGATGTGAAGCTTCTTGGCTACTTGCTGGGGTGGGAGGTTGGAGCTTTCTTACGCCCCTGGACACCCCGGTCAGTCATCTTGACTAGAGGTGTCCCCCACCCCTCCAAGGGCTGGTGCCAATTCACCCAAGGCCGGTGTACTCAAGGGCTACAGCTAGAACTAGGATCCAACTCCTAGCTGACTCTCCCTTTCACTGATGAGGGAAATGTCCTATTTTGGATGCAATAGGAGAGCTCACTATTTAAGGAAGCCCATGGGAAGTCTTAGAGCAAATTAAGAGCTCTTTCATGACCTGGCATTACCGCATTTTGGACACTGGTTTTTACTAGAGGGTCCATTTGAAGGACAGCGCTGCCCACTCAGCACCACGAGGCGCCCCGCTTACCTCTTCTGGAGCAAGTTGTTCCACCTGGCTAGCATCTCTGGTGTCAAGACCTCTTCCACCTGCCCCATTTTCCCTTTGTTAGGAAGGATGAAGAAGGCCCTGGCGTTCCCTTTGTAATCCATCCTGAGCACCGAGCAGGGCAGGTATCTGTCGTGAAGGTACCAGTGGTGTTTCTTGTCTTGAAACATCATAGGCACCTTGACTACCGTATTGTCATCAACAAAGAAGTCTTGGGGAGTGGTCTCCAAGTGGTTAAATGGTTGCTCCCACTGACCTGAGGGGAAGGAGGAAAGAAAGGGCAGGAGGTCCATGACCAACAAGCCAATCCGCCAGCCAGGGAGCGGCTCCCCCTGTCGCTCCAGACCCCCACCTTCCTCACTTGTCAGCGGGCAGGATTTAGGGGTGGGGAATGGCTGGCCCCCGGGCCATATATGGCCCAAGAAATCATTTGGTCTGGCCCTGCCAAGGCCTCGCTAAAGAGAAGCCGTTCCAGCCGTTACATTAGGGGTGAGTTCATTAAATGTTTGACCAAATACAGCAGGCTAATTTTTAAGCTGATAATTTTGTACGGCCCTCGAATGATGTTATAAATATCCAAATGGCCCTTGACAGAAAAAAGGTTCCCCACCCCTGGTAGATGGTTCACGGCCTGCTATGTCAGGGAAATGGACCTCCCAGGGCTCATTTAGAATCAAAATTGGGAGTTACCAAGGATATCAGCAAAGCTGTTTCATGTCTCACCAATTCCTTAAATTTGTTGCACTTGTGTTTTTTGCCAACCTGATGCTTGCATAGTGCAGGCCCGCTGTGGTTCTGGCATGCACTTTCTTGGTTAAAATTGGGGCTGGATAACCTTTCACATGACCAACTAGATGTCCTTTGTTTTAGTTCGGTGCCGGTTCATTTTTTTTTTAGCCTGTATTTCTATAGGGGTGTTTCTTAGTGACTTGAGGGGTTCTTTCTGACACTACTTGTACATCAGTTACGTGTGTTGCCAATACTTTCCCTCCCTTGCTGACTGCTCTTTTCACTCTCGCTTTCTGGAGATTGAAATCCTTGAATGCAGTGAGTGTATCAGTCTTTTCCTTGAGGGTTAGGGCTTCCGTATCTTGGTTGAGAAATTTTCCTACCCAAGTTCATGAAGATACTCTCCTGCAGTATCTTTTAGAAGATTTAGTCTTACCTTTTGCATTTAGGACTTTATCCAACCTGGAGTAAATACTTATGATTGCCAAGAAGGAGGGGCCCCAAGCCATTTTTCCCCCTTATGTACCATTTTTTTGTTTTTAAATTCATTTTTCCCCCAGTTCTTCATGGCAGCTTTGACAAATGTCAAATGTCTATATATTCATGGGGCCATTTCTGGCCTCCCTCTACTGTGTTCCATTGGCCTATTTGTACCACATGGTCTAAATTAATACAGAGCAATAATAAGCCTCACTCTCGGGCAGGCACGTTTTCTCATCTTAGCTATTCTTGGCCCTTTGTATTCTCATATACATTTTAAGATCAGCTCATTAACTGCCACCTAAAAGGAAAAAAAAATTAGGATTTTTATTAGGATTAGATTAAATATTCAGATTAATTGGAAGAGGGAGAATGGATGTCTTTACCATCCTCCTCATGAATGCAGTTTATCTGGTTTTTATTTAAGTCTACTTTCATATCTATCAATATCATCTTTCCGACAGAGATACTGCACAGCTATGGTTTGGATTCTTCCAGGTACTTTGCATTTTTGAAGATGAGCCACAATGTCCCACTGTCCTCACAGAGCGACCTATGTTAAGGTCTTGGGGCTGCATTTACATCCCCAGAGTGCTGGGGACACGGCAGAGGGCAGGGTGGGTCCTCTCTTCCATATCCGGACAACCTCTCTTTCTTATGCCCAGGACACTAACCCAGTTGGAACTAAGTCTCTTTCAGGAAGAGAGCACCCAAAATCTTCATTATTTCTGGCCAGAGCTTTGGGTGGGTGATGGTATATACTATACATTTAGATTTAGATTATGTTTAAAAAGGAATAGAGTCAGTAGAATATTGTGCAGCCCCTAAAATGAGATCTAAATAAAGTTTTCCATAGCATAAAACTGCATGCATGCTCGTGTGGGCACGCACACACGCACACGCACACACACACACACACACACACACACACACACACACACACAGAGTCCAGTACATGCAAAAACCAGCAATACCCTGGCCGATTTGGCTCAGTGGTTAGAGTGTCAGCCCGTGGACCAAAGGGTCTCAGGTTCAATTCCAGGTCAAGGGCATGTACCTTGGTTGCAGATTCAATCCTTGGCCCTGGCTGGGGCACGAGCAGGAGGCAACCAATCAATGTGTCTCTCACATCGATGTTTCTCTCTCTCTCTCTTCCCACTCCTCTTACCTCCCTTCCACTCTCTCTAAAACATCAATGGAAAAAAATATCCTCGGCTGAGAATTTAAAAAGCAACCACCAGTAAAAGCTGAATAACGCCTGCGATTGCACCCATGTCCATCTCCTGGTCTTACTCTTGCACTACAGCAAGTAACGTGTTACGGAGGGGAATCTGGTGAAAGGTACACGGGGCATTCCGTGCTGCTTTTACAACTTCCTACGAATTTACAGCTAGTGCAGAATTTTAAAGATTTTTTTAAAAAATGTTTTCACCAGTGCATGAAAATTCCTCATGGAAAACGCCAGTGATGGCCAATTTGGCTGGATCGTTAGTCTGGGACTGTGTCCCAGAATCTGTTCTCTGTAGATTCTGGTTCAAGCTGGTTATAAGTGTGAGACTGGGAGGTGGACGTGAAGCGGCCTCCGCTCGCTGAAGGTCTTCGTGGGCAGATTGGGTAACGATCAGACCCAGAGAAGCCCTGGGAGCTCCAGCTCATCCATGCTGCCCCCAAGTGTGTTGTCCCAGCTCCAGCCTGCTGACCAACAGTGTCCCTAAGCCACTACCAGGTGCCCAGCATGAGTCTCTCCACAAGCTCCCTCAAAATGGGACCCATCTGGTGGCTTATGTGCCTGGTCTACAGGTTCCTGATAACCTCTAACTTGTGACCTGCACCAGTGACTTCTTCTCTGTCCCTCTACCTCCCTCTTCCTCCAGTCCTGCACTTCCCTAGCCCCTCCCATGATCATGCGAAGTCTAATTCCTGTAACAGCCCCCTTTCCTTTAGCACTCCTGGTGGCTTTGCTCCACGGATGGGACCCTGATTTAGACACACTGTACAAAAGTCTCCCCACACTGTGATTTCAACTGTGTTAACATATGTGTGTGAACCAAAGACTGGAAAGAATTACGCTGTAATGTTAACATTGGTCGCCTTAGGGTGGTAGAGCTATAGACAATTTCTATTTTCCCTTTTATGTATTTTTAAGATTTTCAAAATAAGCATCGTTATCATTAGAGTAATTACAATTACTGTAATTATTTTTTGAGTATATATAATAGTCAGGCATCAGGCAAACTTCCTTTGCAAAGGGCCAGAAAGTAAATATTTTAGGTTTTGCAGGCAGGTCATTCTATCTCTATAACAATTGCTTATCTGTGTGTGTGTGTGTGTGTGTGTGTGTGTGTGTGTGTGTGTGTGTGTGTGTGTGTGTGAGAGAGAGAGAGAGAGAGAGAGAGAGAGAGAAAGAGAGACAGAGAGAGAGAGAAAGAGAGAGAGACAGACAGACAGCAAGCAGCTAGGGACAATATGTAAATGAGTGGATGTGGCCACATGCCAATAAAATTTTATTGGCCCATCAGATGACCCATCAGATTTGGCTGGGGGCGGTAGTTTGCCTGATCCCTGTAGGCCCTCTTCTAAGATGTATACAAACATGGAACATCATTTGATCCTCAAAATAAAACTCTGAAGCAGGGATTCATTATCCTTACAACCTGCCCTGTTTACACTGCTGGAAGTGGCAGAGCTTCAATACAAATTTAGCGGTTCAACTCATGATCACTTTATATGATGTATTTCATAAATTACTGTTATTAAAAGAATAAATAAAATATGTTTAAAGCTATGAAGAGATGAAAATCTCAGTATTACACAATCTTAAATATCTGACACTAACATTAAATCTTCTAAGAGGTGCTTGATCCTATCATACCCAATCCATCCACTTCCTTTTCTCAAAAACATTTAATTTGTCGATAAATTAGTGGGGGGAGGGGAGATAAAGGATCTACCAATGAACTGACTCTTACCTTTGAAGTAAATGTAATTCACCAGCACCATCACCGTATCTGTGCTGAGCCCACTGACCAAGTTTTCAATCTTCCCTTGAGTCTCCTCCTTGACATGATTGTTGATAAGCTGCGTTGTGCCCTCAGAGTCGAGGAAGTTGGTGCGAAAAAGTTTGGACTTATAGAAGGCCACAGTGTCATTAAGGAATCTCGGAAGGAGCTGTAGGTTCTGGCTCAGGAAAAGGGCACAGCCTACGCGTGTCTCCAGGTTGCCATTGGGGAGGTTGAGTGTGTGCAGCAGGTGCTGAAAACCCCGGTGGATGTCGGACTCCTGCACCTCGGTGAGGTTGAAGCCCAGACCCTGGAGGATCTGGGTCCAGGTGTCTGAGGAGGCCCCCAGGGACAGCATGGCATAGGCGGCAGAGATGCTCAGCGGGGAAAAGAAGATGTTCCTTCTAGGGTTTTGGGAAGCTATCAGGTGGTAGAAGTTGAAGGCAAAAGCTGTGTTGCTCGGGGTGATCTTGAGGCTGGGGGACCCCTCCTCTGTGCCTGGATCCTCCTGTTGGTGGTCTTTGGTTTGACCGTGGCCATCTTGAGCAAAGGTCAGTAGTCCAACCAGGAGGAGGAGCCAGTGGCCTGCAAGCTGCATCTTCTGCGATTTCAGGTCTGTTGGAGGAAAGACAGCATCCAGCAAATTCCTTCCGCACAACACCCAACCCTACTGAGAAGTCAGGCCGGGGGCAGGGCCCCATCAACTCCTGCGGGTGGACTTAAGACAGGCTGCAGACACCTAGCACCCTCCACGTGTGTGGTGAAATGTTATCCTGGCACACTCCTGTGTCCACCATCTCATTTCCCATCTTTGTGAACTCGGCATGGCATTGATTACAGAGATGGAGAAACAGAGGCTCCCAGAGTGACTTAGCCAAGTCACCCCACTGGTAAATATCCGAGCTGGAACACGAGTCTCTGGGTTCTCGGCCTGCGGCGCCTTCCACTATGTGAGTGTCTTTCCTTAGCCCAGCCACTCATTGTGCCAAGAGTGCTAATCACCAAAGGTTATTAGTGTCTACTCCACACACCTCCACGGTGTGCTTTACAGTTTACAAAGTCACTTCTATGCGATGTTGTTTGACCCTCTTACCCAAGTAGAAGTCAGTGGAACTGGTATTCTTACCTCCCTGTAGAGATGAGACCGCAGATATTGAATAAATGATTTGCTCAAAGTCACAGGGACAGGATTGGTTCCTTCTCCTAATGAGCTCGATTGTCTGAAACAAGATGCTTGATTTTTGCCACCAAATCCAGTCTGCCCCATCTGGTGGCCCTACCATTATCTGGTTCTCGGCCCCCCAAACTCAGTTGTCATCTCTAACATCTGCCTGGCCTCTCATCCACCCCACCTCAGTCCATCAGCACGTCCCATGGCCTCTTCCTTCAGCCTCTCAGCCCCTCCACTGCCATGACCCTTATTCAAGTCCCCAGCCTCTTTCACCGAGAGCAAGGGTCAGAAAAGTCCTGTAAAGTGTCAGACGGTCAATACTTTGGGCTTTGTGGGCCATATAGTCACTGTGGCATTTACACAACCACACAGTGCCAGCTGGAAACTGGCCACAGGCAAGACACACACAATGGCCATGACTGCACTCCAGTGAAATTGGTTTATGGGCACTGAGATCTGAACTGCATATAACTTTGACATGTCACAGAATAATGTCCTTCTTCTGATTTTTTTCAACCATTTACAGCTTTTATATTTACATTGTATATCTTTTGTTCTTAGCCACGGGCCAGATTTGACCCTGACCTAGACCCCTGCAGTAGCCCCCTAAGTCTCTACTCTCCATTTTCTGTACAGCCGTTGGAGTTTCATTTCAAAACACTCATGGAACCACTTTGTTCACCCACTCAGCACCCCTCCACCCAGCATCACATCCTAGCAACCCATCCCAACTCCTCCTGGCCCCCAACTCTCAAACGCTTCCCAGCAGCTTCACAGGGAGGTCACCCAGAATTTCCCTCTGCAGGAGCTCGCCCAAAACATCGGGATCAGGAGCCAGAAGGCCTGGCCCGGCTGTGTGCAGCCTCGGAGGGCGCTGTTGCAGGGCCTGGGCACTAGTCCCCACTGGTGCAGGGAGGAGGTTGGTGCACAGGTATAGGGGTCTTTTCAGCCTTAGGATTTGTCACCTCTGGGGAAGGTGACCGGTGGTCCCAGTTTTTCCAGAACTTTGTTAGTTTTAGCTGTGGACAAAGAAGGGGTCCTCTAATAAAACTGACAAGTCCAGTGACAGAAAGTAACCTCACAGGGTGGTCTGACCATGAATCCCTAACTGGGCAGCTCATGGTGGGCAGTCAGTCCCAGGAATGCAACGTCTTAAGTAAAAGGTTCATCTTTGCCTTAAGCAAGCCCAGTCCACTGTTTCTGGGCATCTAGGTGAAGGCGCCTTTGAAACGCCTTTTCAGACCCTCTTTCTAAAGCGAGAGCCCGTCCAGGGCGCACGCAATCTCATTAACCGCCTTTTCAGACCCTCCAGGGTGCACGCAATCTCATTAACCGCGCTGCCGTCCAGCCCCGCCTTGCTTCCCCCACCTCCGGGCCACCCTCACGTTCCCGCCTCAACTCCCAGTGCACACGAGGAGCTGCGAACTGCCCTGTCGCCAGCATTTTCCTCAGGCTGTCGAGATCTCGCTTCCAGACGTCTGCTTGGCGCATATCAATTCTAAAAACTCTTACAAGATATTTCTGCAGGTTGGATGTTTACGTGGACCTGGCACCGAAAGTCCGTCCCCCAGCCCTCCCCTTAGAGCCTCCACTGTGGCCCTCAGGGGGTTACTCACGGCACAGCGGAGTCCAGAGTAGCCTCCGTGTGGCTGTCCCAGCTCTAGAGGTGGCCCAGGAATGTGACGGGTTTATCAAGCCCAGGGAGATTGAAGAAACTTTTATCAGCACCGCCTACCACCTCTCCAATTAGGTAATTATTAATAAGCAGACCAGTAAGCACGGCGTGGAGTCCTGACAGAGAGAAGCCTCACTGGACGTTGGCTGCCCTCCTCCCAAGGGAACCCCTTCTTCCCTCCCGGAGACGCCAGAGGGTCCCCCCTTCCTGACTCTGTTGTACATTGAGGTTCGCCTGGTACTTGCTCCTCCCTGAGCTCAGGGGAACCCCTAGTGGGTCGTCTGTCTCAGTTTTTGTCTCCCCTTCCCCCCAATTTCTCCTTTCCCTGCAAAATGAAGAATTGGACCAGACCGGGAACAGCAAACTCCAGTATCTTTGTTAGTTTTAGCTGTGGACAAAGAAGGGGTCCTCAGCTCTCTGCAGCCAGTCAGGACCCATTTGGGGCCTGGATCCTGCCCCGCGCCCCCAGCTTGCCGTTGTGGATGCTGTGGCCTTCGAGAGCCTTCCAGCTTTAAGTTGCATGGTTCTGTGATGGAACCGGCCGAGGTGTCACATGTTGGCCTTCAAGGACAGTGCATCCCAGGGGCAAGGGTGACATGGGCTGGGACCAGACCCCTCCTTGGGCCATAGATCCAATTCCACCTTTTCTCTTTATGGAGCTTGAAGCTGTTCTCTCTCCAATCATCAGTGAGCCTCAGCTTCCTTGGACGGTTCTGGGGCAGCTGGATGCTTCTCTGGCCATTTGGGAAAGGGCCACAGAGAAAGGACCACAGGGAGTGACTAGCCCTCAGTGTCACGTGGAGGGTGAATGAGATGCCCTTGGCATTCAAGCTTCCTTCTGTAGACTTTTCTGAATGTGTCTCTAGGTACTTGGGGCCTTAACTTGAGTGAAATATGCACCATTGAGCAGCACGATCGGGCTGGGAGCCCTGAACCGGGCAGAGCACAGAGCGGTAGAGGAAGAAGGCCCAAGACAGGCCTGGACCCAGCCGGCCCAGGGTCCAAATCCCAGACCTGCTGCCGGGCTCACAGAAGTTCAAGATGCGGACGAAAGCTGGTTTCCAGGGAAAGTAACCTCCCAGGGCAACCTGACCTTAAATTCCTAACGGGGCAGGTGTTGGTGGGTAGTCACAGCCCAGATAAGTAACTTCTTTGGAAAAAGGGTGATCTTTGCCTTGAGTAAGGCCTGTCAGTTTTCTGTGTATCTAGGTTAACAGGCCTTTGAAATGACTCTTTTCAGGGCCCTCCTTTGACCCCCATGCCCCCTCCCACCAGCTCAAAGGAGCACATAATCCTGTTAACTACCCTGTAGCCCAAACCCTGTCTTCCTTCCCCCCATTTATCTCAGTCTGCTGAGGCCTTGCTTCCAGTCGTATCCTCTCTACAGGTTTGGATATTCCTACGTCGACAAGAGGCATGTCCCAGTTCACAGGACAAAAATGCATCAACACCAGGGCAAGACTGGAACTTGATGTGCCAGATAAGAGCCTCTCTCTCCCTCCCTCGCTTCCTCCCC